AGGTGTGATAATGGTATCATGGTCACAAGGCAGAAAGTCCTTGTTTTTAAGAAATATTTCAAAATTTGACAAAATGTAACAATTGTTGAATCTAAGTGATAAATGTGTAATCATACTAATCCCTCAGCTCTGCTACATGTTTAAAATATTTTATAATAAATTAGAAAAAGAAAATGATTCCATAGAGCTGTATTTGACTTGGAAAGATATCAAGAACAACTTGTTCAATTTAAAATGCAGGTTGAAAACAAATAAATAACATTTATTTATTTTTGTAAAATGTGTACAGTACTCATATAGAGCATTCAATGTATTTGCACACCCATATTCATAGCTGCATTATTTACAATAGTCAAAAGTTGGAAACAACTCAGTGTTCATCCATGCATAAATGGTTAAACAAATTATCACATAGACATTTAAAGGAATATTACTGAGTTGTATAAAAGAAGGAAATTCTGACACATGCAACATGGATGAACATTGAGGATATTGTGCTAAGTGAAATATGCTAGTCACAACAGAACAACGACTGTATAATACCACTTATCTGAGGTTTCTAGAGTAGTCAAATTCATAGAGACAGAAAGTAGAATGGTGGTTACCAGGAGCTGAGGGGGGAGGTGAGGAATGGGGAATTCTTTAATGGGTAGGTATAGTTTAAATTTTGCAAGATAAAGAGTTCTGGAGATTGGTTACACAACAATGTGAATGTATTTAGTGCTATTGAACTGTACACTTAAAAATGGTTAGGATGTAATTTATGTTATGTGTATTTTACCACAATTAATAATAAAAATTAAAACTGAATGTATGTTTAAACAGTCATTTCTGTCAGTTAGAGTTTCTGGACAATTTTTATTTCCTTTTTCCATTTCTATGGAAAGTTGTCACTTTTACATTAAACATGAATCAGTTTTACAAAACCAGAGACCTATTTTCAAAATATAAAGATCTGCAGATTTTTAGTGTTTTAGGAAACATAGGGATGGTAGAGTATGTTTTCTAAGGAAAAGGATTTTCAGGAAACAATAGGAATTGTCAATGTAGCCTGAGAATTTTGTCAAAAACAGTAACAATTTATTGTCCCGGAGGTGAGAGGCAAATTGGGACACTGGGCACCTCCTCTGCATTGAGGTTGTGGTGGAGAGCTCGGCCTGCTGACTGGTGGCCAGACCTAGAGAGCTGAGACCTAGTAGTGGGGCCCTCCCGGAACTGTAATTACTTGGTGTGTGGCCAGCAAGGAGGAGTTTGCATGCTGTTGGTGATGCAGAGCTGGCCTGCTTGCCTTGTCTTCCATATCTATTCCAGCACCTCATCTTGCTTGACTGCACCCCAGCTGTATGGTTCGTGAAATTCCTTCAGATCCAGGCCTTGATCTCACCTCCCAGAATCCAGTTTCTGTTGAAGTTGGTCAGTTCTTCCTTCAGGTCAATAGTTACTACCTGCACAGCATCCCAGGCCAATAAGTCATTTTGACCCTGGCTGACCTCTTTATTTTGACCTCGGTCAGGTTCTAGGCCCTGTATCCTATTTGCGATGGAGAACCTGACAGCTTAACTCTGCATATTTTTACATAACCATACAAGCAGCTACAGCAGCAGGAAAACGTTCTTTTCCAAAACTTCATGCAGAGCAGTACTTGCACTTATATGCACATGGTACTTTGCAGTACATTATACAGTTCTATTATGTTTCTCATTAAGTGATAAGGGACTGTTGCCATAGCTCAATCTCAGACTATGCATTCATTTAAAATTTTTTCTTTTGGAAAACAGAAAAGAACAGAGAATACCATAACAAACACCTGTGTTCAGACCACCCAGAATTAACAAATGTTAACATTTTGTAATGTTTGTTTTAAGTCTAGAATTCTCATTTTAAAATTAAATTTCACTTTTTGGTATAGGCAGAGCTGGCCTCAGGAAAATAGTGAAGTTGGCTGATCCTCTCCTGCTGTGTCCTTCTCTTCCCTGGCAGATAACTGACTAGGCATCGGTAGCCCTTGGTCCTGCAGCAGACCATGCTGTGCTTCTCCCAAAACAGCTATGCTGGGATCTGTTTCCCGGGACTCTAGATGTAAAAGTGGAGTCCTCAACTTCTGGACGTCCCCCCAAAATGTATATACACTTTGAATAATTATAAATTCCAATGGGTTAATCTGAAAAGAAAGAAACATCAATTGTACTATCCACTGTTAAGTGTGTATACATTTTTTGGGACACCCTATGTTAGAAATGAGTCTTGGTTCTGAGTCACACGAAAAGTTCCAAGTAGAAAAAGGAAAGTTTATTAGAATAGAGGAAACTTATCACAACTTTGCAGAGGGGTCTTCAGGCACTGTTGGAATCCCAGCTTGTTCATGCTCCTCTCTGATTCATTCTTAGCTCGTGTTCAGTTCACCTGTTGAAAAATAGCCTCCCACGACTTTTGTGTTTACATATGACATATCCAGCCACATGAAAAGACGGGCTGGCAGAACTTCTGTCACAATTCCACATGTCTGACGGAGTGAAGCTGATTGTCCTGTCTAGATAAGATGTCCACCTCTGGTTCAGCAAGCTCTGCCGAGTGTGACCAAGTCATGTACACAAACATGGCTGCCAGACCCTCACTTCTGTGATCTTGTGAATTCAGAGTTGTGGGCTATTCTCAAGAAGGAACCCCTTCTCCTAAACATTGCTGCATATCTTCCAGGGGACAATCATTTTAGTATGAGAAGCATACAGCGAAAGTTTCAGCAAAAGCTAGGAATGACTCTTTAGATTAAACATCTTAAACTTGGGAAAGCACAAGAGAATGACATGACGGTGAAGAGTATTGGAGACCATCCCTGAGGGCAAACAGTGCAGTTGTTTTTTTGGGGTGGGGGTGGGGGCTATGTAATTAAAAGGAACATGGGACAGGATTTGTGTAAGCACAAAATTTCCCACGTTTACAAATGGACTATGGTCTAAAATTGATGCTATTTTTGTATTCCTTTGACCCTCATGTACCCGGGACCTAATGAGAAAACAGTGACAATCTAACCCCAAATTTCTCCAAAGGGCTTGCTTATAGTTTGCTATGAACCCTGCATCCATATTATAAGAGGCTGATTCCATTTTTGAGTAATATGGCATAAAATGAACACTTTCTTTTCTATCTACATACATTCTCATTTCCAAAGGTCTGTGCCTGTAAGCCATTTCAAATATTTTCTGGAATAAACAGGATAGATATGTCTAAATATATAAAATGAGGTCATGTATATATTTCTATATTAGCTCATAAGAAACAAGCATAATCCTAACAGTAATACTATTTTAACCACATAGACAGTGATCATTTATAGTACTTTTTCCTGAAGCTCAGACTTGGATGGCAAACAGGTGTCCTCCATGGGGGCGGTGGAGTGGAGTGAGTCTCACACACCACAAATAATTTGTGTTAGCTATTTTTATTTGCTCATGAAAAGCCACTTCTCTAGGCTCTTCTGTCCTCATGTGATATAAATTTCACTTTTTGAGGTCAGGGCTGCAACCTCACTATGCTCAGCTACCAGCATGGCCTAAGTTTTGGATTGATAATGTAATGCATAAAAACTCAGTGGGCATATGATCTCACTTATATGTGGAATCTAAAAAACAAAATAAACAAACAAACAGAACAGAAACAGACTCATAGATACAGAAAACATTTTGATGGTTGCCATATGGAAGGGGGGTTTGGAGATGAGTAAAAAAGTTGGAGGGCTTAAGTACACATTAGTAGATACAGAACAGTCTTGGGGATGTAAAGTACAGCATAGGAAATATAATCAGTAATATTCTAATAACTATGTATGATGTCAGATGGGTACTAGATTTATTGGGGTGATCAATTAATAAATTATATAATGTCTAATCACTGGGTTATGTACCTGAAACTAATATAATATTGTATGTCAATTGTAATTGTGAAAAATAAAAAAAATATTTAAAGTAAAAAAAAAAACAAAACTCAGTGGGTTTCACCCAAGATTCCTAGCTTTAAGAATGACACAGGGCCCTGGCCAGGTGGCTCAGTTGGTTGGAACATCCTCCCATACCCCAAAAGGTGACAGGTTTGATTCCCAGTAAGGGCACACACCTAGGTTGTGGGTTAGATCCCCAGTAGGGGTGCACATAAGGGAGGCAGCAGATAGATGTTTCTCTGTCGCATCAATGTTTCTCTCTTTCTCCCCCTTTCTCTCTTGCTAAAAAGTAATAAAACATATCCTCAGGTAAAGATTAAAAATAAATAAAAGAATGACACACAATGGTTGACAACAGAGTGTGTAAGGTGATCCTGGGACAGTCTGCATACTTCTAGCATAGCCTGGGAATAGGGTGTGCCCATGGGTATGAGAGATGAGGCAGAAAGCCTGAAGACAAGCTTCATGGGAAGCCATTCACTCTGGGGTTCTCTCAGCTTTTGTCCTTGTTTATCTAATCTCAGCCTCCTTCCAGTATGTGGGGGACACCCATTCTCAGTGCAGCTGTGTCTTGTCACCAAAGACCTTCATTCATGACTGTCAGTCAAGACAATGGGTCTGAAATGCCTGGTTCATCTTCAGCAGACTACATTCAGTATATGTAATTTCTTGACTTAATGCTGTAAGGAGATCTCAACCAAGCCAATGGCCAAATCCTCCTGTGTCCCTGTGTCTAAAAGATAGGTCACAAATATCAGTTTTGTCCAGGTTCAGGTCTTTCTCATGTTTGTATCTTAAGCACAGAGTCTGGCATGTGGTGCTTGATAAGTAATTGTCAAGTGAATAAATTTTGAACTTTGAATTTTAATTATTTTATATTCAGATTATTTATATGTCTTGTGTTTATAAATAAATAAATCATCACCTACAAGCAAAACTATTTATTTTCTATTTTAAGAGTAATTTATATCAAAGGCCTTTGGCATAATAAAGGCCTTTGTGCTGTTAAAAGCCATGATAATTGTCACTTAAAGTGTTGAATATTCTCTTTTACTCTGTCTTTCAGATTATTTGAATATATTTTGCTCTATAAAGATGGAGTGATGTTTCAGATTGAACAAGCCACCAAGCAGTGTTCCAAGATTACCCTGACAGACCCCTGGGACCCTCTTGACATTCCTCAGAACTCTACCTTCGAGGACCAGTACTCCATAGGGGGGCCCCAGGAGCAGATCACCGTCCAGGAATGGTCAGACAGAAAGTCAGCTAGATCGTGTAAGCATTCAAAAAATATGGGAGGGTTATGTCTCAGAGGCATCATGGGAAAAAAATGTTTAGTACATTAAGGAACATAGTTGTTGGGGAAATTAATAAGGGTAATCAAATTGTTTAACCCCCATTGAAGTCCCCACATGTACTCTGCTAGTTGTGTAGCACCAGGATCCAAGCATCATGTTTTAAATACCTCAGCCTTCTAACCCCACCTGTACCTTTCTGCCACATTAGCTGTTATGGATTTAGCCTTGACTCTGACATTTAACGATCCTCCCAGCCCACCTCCCCAGACCAGTGATATGGAAAGTGTTTGTGTAAGGCACACATCAGAAGTGAGTGCCTCCTTTTCCTTCCCCCAGATCACTTCCTAAAGTCATAGTGACCAGATTTACTGCTATTAATTGTAGTGTCTGCTTTTATACATAGATGTGAAACTCCTCTATGTTCTGCTATCAAAATACCTAGGCCAAGACTGTGTCAGAAACACAGGCCTTTATGCTATGGGAAATAGTACGGCAGTTTGCAACATCAACAACAACAACAAAATTAAGCACAGAATTACCATATGACCCAGCAATTCCACTTCTCATCATATACCCAAATGAATTGAAAGAAATGACTCAGATATTTGAATATTCATGTTTATAGAAGAATTATTCACAATCATCAGAAGGAGGAAACAACTCAAGTGCCTATCAGCAGATGAATGGATAAAGAAAATGTTGTATATATAAAATGGAATATTACTCAGCCTTAAAAAATGAGGAAATTCTGACACACACACTACATCATGGATAATCTTTGATGACATTATACTAAGTGAAATAAGCCAGTCACTAAAGGACAAATACTGTATAATTAACTCCATTGATATGGGGTGCCAAGTAGTCAAGTTCATGGAGACAGAAAGAAAATGGTAGTTGCTAGTGGCTAGGGGGAGGAAGGATGAGGAATTAGCATTTAATGAGCACAGAATTTTATTGGGAAGATGAAAAAGTACTGGAGAGGGTGGTAGTGATAACCATCACAACAATGTGAATGTACTTAATGCCACTGTATTGTACTTAAAAATGATAAATTTTATGTATAATATACCACAATAAATATAGAGGCATTTTTCCTGTCTTCTCTATTAAAAAGTCAACTTTCCTCCTTCTTATAGATGAAACCTGGATTGGCATTTATACAGTCAAGGATTGTTATCCGGTTCAGGAAACCTTCACCAAAAATTACAGTGTAATATTGTCCACACGATTTTTCGACATACAGCTGGGTATTAAAGACCCCTCGGTGTTTATTCCCCCGAGCACGTGCCAGACGGCCCAGCTAGAGAGGATGAACCAGGACTGTGTGTGATAAGCCTGTGAATGCAGGAATGACAGCATCAGGCATCAACACTGACGGCCTTAGCTCAAAACGGATTTGAACCTGAGAGATGAAAATCTTCTTTGGAGATAAACGTTGATGTGGGTTGTTTTGTTTTGTTTTGTGCACATATGATGTTGGCTACTCAAGCTAATCAAGATGGAGACAATGTGGTAATATGAACTAAAAAGATGAACATGGGGTTTTGGTGTAGCCTATCTGGGTGCTGTGCTTTCTGTGTGTGCATGTATATATAAGGTGTGGTGGCTTACATAGGGCTGAGAGTCAGTGGGAGCAGTTTGCCTTGGCAGGGAAGAATGTTTTATTTACTGATGTTATTGAGAATCACCAGATTCCTGGTACCTGGTGATAATAAAAAACAACAATTTTGGTCAGTTTTATTATTAATTTTTTTTTATCCTCACCCGAGGACATTTTTGAATTTATCTTCAGATAGAGCGGGAGGGAGAGAGGGAGGAAGAGAGAGAGAGAAACATCGATGTGAGAGAGACCCATCGACTGGTTGCCACCCACACAACCCCATCCGGGGCCAGGGACAAACAGCAACTGAGGTATGTGCCCTTAGCGGGAACCAGACCCAGGACTCCCTGTTCTGTGTGCTGATGCTCTAACTGCTGAGCCAAACCAGCCAGGGCTATTATAATTATTTAAGTTCTCTATAGCTAATGAACCTTTTATTGCCTCCACCAAGGAGGTGACTGCTCCCCCTGCTCCAATCACATGCTCCCTAGGCTACTGAAAAAGTGATCCCTTAAAACTCCTTTCTTAAGAGTTTAAGGCATGAATCAATTGATATAAACATTTAGAAGGAAATGAAAGGCTATAAAACAAAGAAATTATTCCTCTAAAGAGACATTTTAAACAAGAGAGTTTGAAAATCTTAACGTCTATCCCTGGGTAAGCACGAGCCATGTATGCTTTCTTTTTTCTATGCAAGAGTATTGATAATTTTGCTGAATCATCATGTATTGTCAGGAGACCTACAGAGATAGGTAGTATTCTAAAAATAGCACTGAACTGGGGGTCAGAAGACTATTGTCTCAAAAATCTAGGACTAGAATTCCCTTGTAATCTAATTCCTTTGATTAACAACATGTGCTATACTTTCCCTCAACTTTGCCTTCTGGGGCACAACCTCTTTGTATACCTGACTTCTGTCCATCCTTGGTAGGTCAGCTCACACAAGTCCTTCAGAGAATTGCCCCCAAGCCTGGGTGTTTCTTGCAGCTTAAGCATGCAATTTTCACAGTATTTATTTAAGCTGTGTTAATTTTCTGCTTACACCCTAGCTTGGCTAGGAGTTCCTACAATATGGGTACTGTGTTCCACTAATTTTTATATGCTCAGCTCCAAGTAAGTGCCTGGCACATGATCAATGCCCTAAAAATCTATAGAGTAGAGAATGCAAGCCTCTCTAGTTTTCAGTTTCCTGGTGTGTTAATAGGGTTAGGTTTGCTGATATCTATAAAATGTATTATGTGATTACTCTATTATTGTGTTTCTTCTGCCCATCTATTTATCTATTATCTATTACCAGGAGAAATGTGTGGCACCTGTATTATGCTGAAACAATCTGTATTACTCACTGTTTATATTATTTCAATAAACAAAGTTAATTGCATTTCAAAGTATTTGATATATGTGCTTTTGTAATAAATATGAATTATATTTATTATAAGGGTGTTAAAACTGTTCTCTAATAAATAAAGTTCTTCATGTGATCTAAACCAAGTTCATTATCCTCTCTCAAAAGCTTGCTCTTCTGCTTAAAGTCCAGTTTCCTGGGTCAGAAGTCTTAGAGTCGTTCTTGACTCATTTTTTTTCCTTCAGTCTCAAAGGCAATCAAAGTCCTGAGTCCTATCAGAGTAGTTCTTAGAGCTGCTGCCTCTTATTCATTCCCTCAGCCACCATTCAGGTCCAGCACCACTGGCTTTGCAAGACCTTCATACCCTGTCTCCTTTCCCTGGTCTTTTCTTCTAGAAGTCACATTCTGCTCATTCAACCAGTCATAAGCCTATACTGAACCCCTGTTACCCCGAGGGTCCATGGTGGTTGTTAGAGTTACAGAATCTGCTCTGTAACCCAGCCAAAGAATGCACAGATGAGGGACTTTCACAGTGGCCTTTAAGGTGTGGCAGTTTAATAAAGCCTTTGACAGTGTTTGCCCCTTCTTATTTCTCCACCTGTAGGATGGCTCCATTGCTCTCCAGAACGCTCATTCCTCTTAGCTGGATATTTGCTGTGCTCACCCCAAACCACACTCCTACTCAGATAGAGGAACTCCTTTTATTTTATTCAGGAACATACAAACTGTGTGCTCTTTCATTTTTCAGTTGGCCAGTTTTAGTAGTTAAGCCATTTCATGGAAATGAATAAAAAATTCTTCTAGCAGGATTTTACATCTGGTGGGACCTCAATACACACCTGACAGGTACCTTACTCCTGTGGTTCTCCACCATCTCAAAGTGAAGTGGAATCTCCTTAGCACAGTTTCAAGGCCCTTTCCATCAGGTTCCTGATTCCTTTTCTAACCTCAGCACTAAGACTGACCTCTCTTTCTCAACTGCCTCAGAGCCTGAGAAATGAGGGCTGGGTCACCTCTGGTGGCAGGAGGGTTTCCATAGTCATTAGTCTTATGTAAAACCCTCTAGTGGCCATTATAGTTAGAAAGAAGAGGGCTCTTAAATAGGGCAAGGACTGGCCCTCTAATGAAAAGGAGCACACTGTGTCTCATTTACCTACAGCCATGGTATTCCTAACCATGGACCAGAACTAGGCATGGATACCACTTTGGGGATATCTCTGAGATTTTATTTTACAAAAGAACAACTTCCACCTCTCCCAAGGTAAATTGCCAGGATTCAGGCAAGAATGGGGATGTTTGTTATCTTCTTCCTTCAACCCTGCAGGCCCATCTCTGCAACAGGGCCATCCTATTCTCTTTCCCACTGACCTCTGTAGACTCAGAGTGGCCTGGCCTTTCTGCTCCCATTTGCTCTATTATGAGGGTTAAAATGGTGTTCACATTTTAAAACTATTTAAATGTTTTTAAAAGCAAAAAAATTTAGGTGTCTGAGGAAATGTCCCATGAAGTACGCTTAATTTCTTACCAAGCTGAATTCCATACCATTTGAAAACTCAACATTCACCTCTTGCTGGGTTTCTTTTACTTTTTTATATATATTTTTTTAGTAATTAATTAATTTATTTATTTTGTTACAGATGTTTCTCTTTTTTCCCCAAAGATTTCCCCTCACCAACCCTCCTGGCACTGTCCCCAGCTTTGTTGTCTATGTCCATTGTTCATGCATACATGCATATAAGTTCTGTGTTTTATCACTCCCTCACCATCCCCTCTTCTGGGGATTGTCAGTCTGAACCCAACTTCCACGTCTCTGGGACTACCCCATTCTTCAGACTGTTATGTTCATTATATTCCACAAATAACTGAGATCATATGAAACTTGTCTTTCTCTGCTTGGCTTGTTTCGCTTAGGATAATACTTTCCAGGTCCCTCCATGTCATCTCAAAAGAAAAGAGATTTTCCTTTCTTACAGCTGCACAATATTCCATTCTGTACATGTACCACAGCTTTTTCATCCATTCGTCTACTGATGGGCATTTGGGCTGTTTCCAGATCTTTGTTATGGTAAATAGTGCTGCTACAAACATGGGGGTACATATATTCTTTCTGATTGTTGTTTCAGGCTTCTTAGGGTATATTCCTAGAAGTAGGATCACTGGGTCAAATGGCAGTTCAATTTTTAATTTTTTGAGGTAACACCATATTTTTTTCCAAAGTGGATGCACCAGTCTGCATTCCCACCTGCAGTGTACTAGAGTCCCCTTTTCTCCACACCCTCGCCAACACTTGTTGTTTGATGATTTGTTGATAGCAACCATTCAGACAGGTGTGAGGTGATCCCTCATTGTTGTTTTAATTTGCATCTCTCTGATGATTAGTGATTTTGAGCATTCCATCATATGTCTCTCAGCCATTTTTATGTCCTGTTTGGAGAGGTGTCTATTTACTCCCTCTGCCCATTTTTTAATTGGGTTCTTTGTCTTCCTTTTGTGGAGTTGTATGAGCACTCTGTATATTGGAAATTAACCCCTTATCTAATATATCATCGCAATTATGCTCTCGCATACAGTGGGTTGCCTTTTGAGTTTGATGTAGTCCCATGTGTTCATTTTCTCCTTTATTTCTGTTGCCTTAGGTGATGTATCAGTGAAAATTCTGCTCTGTATGATGTCCGAAATTTTGTTGCCTACATTTTGTTCTAGAATTTTTATGGATTCACGGGTCACATTTAAATCTTTTATCCATTTTGAGTTTATTTTTGTGTATGGTGTAAGTTGATGATCTAGTTTAATTTTTTTGCATGTAGCTGTCCAATTTTCCCAACACCATTTATTAAAGAAGCTGTCCTTACTCCACTGTATGCTCTTGCCACCTTTGTCAAATATTAATTGAGCGTATTGCCTTGGGTCCATTTCTGGGTTTTCAGTTCTGTTCCACTGGTCTATATGCCTGTTCTTGTGCCAGTACCAGGCTGTTTTGGTTACAGTCGCTTTGTAGTATAACCTGATATCTGGTATTGTGATCCCACCTACTTTGTTCTTCTTTTTCAAGATTGCTGTGGCTATTCGGGGTCTTTTTTGGTTCCATATGAACTTTTGAAGTATTTGTTCTAGTTCTATGAAATATGTCATTGGTATTTTGATGGGGATTGCATTGAATCTATAGATTGCTTTGGGTAGTATGGACATTTTAATGATGTTAATTCTTCCAATCCATGACCAGGGTATGTGCTTCCACTTTTTTTATATCTTCCTCTATTTCTCTTTTCAATGACCTGTAGTTTTCTGCAAATAGGTCCTTTACTTCTTTGGTTAAGTTTATTCCTAGGTATCGTATTTTTTTTGGCGCGATGGTAAATGGGATTGTTTTTTCAGTTTCTCTTTCTGTGAGTTCATCATTGATGTACAAGAATGCCGTCGATTTCTTTTTTTTTTTTTTTTAATTTTATTTATTTATTTATTTTTTTGTTACAGATATTTTACCTTTTTACCCCATTGGCACCCCCCACCCCACCCCCCCCCCCTCCACCCTGTCCCCGGCTTAGTTGTCCATGTCCATTGGTCATGCATACATGCATATAAGTTCTGTGGTTTATCTCTTCCCACCCCCCCACCCCCCATCCCCTCTTCTGAGGGATGTCAGTCTGTGCCCCACTTCCATGTGTCTGGGTCTACTGTATTCCTCAGACTGTTATGTTCATTATATTCCGTATATAAGTGAGATCATGTGGTATTTGTCTTTCTCTGCTTGGCTTCTTTCACTTAGGATAATACTTTCCAGGTCC